CCGCCAAGTCCAATGATAAAGTGTAAGCATCTCCATGCTTTCGCCTCAAATGGCGACGCTCCTTTCCAGCGGCAGACACACAAATTTGACAATCACGTCTGAAAGGAATATGCCCCCTTAGGCAATGGTCACGGAAAGCTCGCTCCTCAGCTGTTAATCTCCGTAACGTTCCCTCTCGTTCTTCCTTTTTTGACATCATAGTTTCCCGTTCAGCATCGCTCTCATGCAACCATTGTGCCAACCTGTGACGTATTCTTTTAACCAATCCAAACGCCCATCGCGCCCATATGGAGGATTGTCCAATACGCTCTTCCAGGGTAGAAGCGAATGTTGCTGACCACGGAACAACCACGCGAACCTGTTCCAACGATTCCCATAGTTCCATATCAGACACCAGGAAAGTCGTAGGCTTCACCAGAGCATGTCCCAATGCTCCTTGATCAAAATGTGCAGCGTGCATTCCATAACGCTCGCAAAAACTTTTTACCTCCGGCCAACTCCAGAAGGTAGGACTTGAGAACCCTTTCTGAGAACCATCCACCAGATCCTCAGCACTCAAGACCTTTTTGCCATTCTGAGAGAAATCTTTCCCTATGAGTTCAGGGTCCCCAGGACTTTCCATGCCAAAGAAGACAGAACTTCCATTGATGACTTCAGCAGTTCCACACCTTGAATGCACCGCCACGTCATATAGGAAAAGCATCTTCAGAAGTAAAACACCATCCTTTTGAGCTAATTCTTGATGTGGCCAAGGAAGACTGTTTAGTCCCAACCGTTCAGGCCCACAGCGTCGGCGTAATACAGGTGGACCACCGTCTTCACCTCTCAACCTTGACACTGTCCTGCATGGAGGTCCTCCAACCACAGCAACCGCCTTTCCTTCAGCCGCCAGATGCAGAAGATACTTCCAGACGCTCGAATTATGTAGGTCACCGCCTTTCTTCAAATCCAGCTCCAGTACCTCCACATCCCGACTGGGAAAATGCCATTTTTGTTTTCCCGAAAAGAGGTGTACCGCCACCCTTTTTGCTCGTGCCAGCCGTCTCCTTTTATGACGGTTGAAAGGCAACGCCGCAATATCTCCACGTGGCAACAGCTCCATCAGCATATTTTCGGGTATATCCCCATAATACCACCGAAGAAATCGCCAACATGCCTGGACGAACTCCTCCTCGTTCGCTGACGCTGTCCGCGCTGCGCTTTGCAACGACGCCTTTACGGCCACCTCATTGTCCGTGTTCGGACACCCTTGAACCATACGTGCCACCTTCAATGCTTGCTTTGGTGAACACCAATCCATTTCATCAATGATCTGAAGCGCCACCTCCTTTTCCAAACAAGGGCGCCCATTCAGATCACGAACGCGAAGTTCCCCCAGAACAGGATGTGAGGCTGTGCACTTGCCACCACGCCACTGAACTCTGAGACCAACCAAAGCGCTCGCTTTGCCAATTGGCACTAGTGGATCTACCATTTCAGGAGTTACCAGGGTCCCACCTGGGGTAATACACATCTCCCGAGATCCAACGCTAAAGACACCAACACCTTTTGCTGCGGAAGCTGTTCACCAGGACGAAGTGATCTGAGAGGATGTGATGCTCCCGAGTCCAACATGCCCATTCCCGAACACTCATTGGTGTCAGAAACCCTGGCCACATGTAGAACGCATACTCCTCGGCCTTCTCCCTGCTTCGGCAACAACGTGGCATCAGACGAACCGACTCCACAGTCCGCCCTTCCATTCCTCCATTGAGAATGGGACCAAGACGCACGCTGCCTTTCAGCATGCAAAACCATCTTTTCAGCTGTTTTGTAATCCATAACCAAACAGCCATGTTCAAACCACAAGAGCTGGTCCAGCGAAGATTTTGCACCCACGTGACACATCCCATTGATCACGGTGAGGTTCGCCCCAAACTCCAAAATCAACCAGAGAGGGATAATCAGAGGCCCATTGTCTTCCCTAATCAACGTCCCTTTCTCTGTAATCTTCATTGTCACACCACCAAGCGCGCTTTGCACCATAACAGTAGTGTCAGGTAAACATTCCCACGGAAAAAGCGTCCGCACAAGATGCGTAGCAGCTGTATCCACCAACGCCACTCTCCTTCCCTGCTGAAACAACCCAGAGCCACATAACATTCGAACACTGGGATCCCCGCTTGATGCTGACTGCGCTGATGACAGTTTCATAGATTTCAGCACTTCTAACGCTTCAGCAAGGACCTGATTGGGTGTTGATGGTGATGAGGGACTTGCAGAACCTTTCTCCAATCCCGCATTAGCCGTCTCATCTCCCCCTTCAGCCACCTCTGCCTTTTTGGCATTTCCCCATTTTGCACCTTTGCCGCCCTTTCCCCCTTTGGGAGAATTCCCTTTAGATCTATTCCTCTCAGGATTTGAGTCCACATTGGAACTTGCGCCCTCTTTGTATGGACACTGCGGCTGTAGATGGCCAACGGCCCCACATTCAAAACATCTTCCACGCTCCAGGGAGTCCTTGTCATGGCGAAATTTGCAGCGTGATCCGAACTTGCAGCCTGCTTCTGTCTTCCCATATATCCAACAGAATGGACGTTCACCATCACCGCTGTACCTTTTTCCTTTCCCTTTTCCTTTGTCACCCTCCTCTGTCTCGTCACCAGTTCCCTTTTGGGCCTTGTTTAACCTTGCCCTTTTCTTGGCGTCCGAGTCCTGCTTCACCTCTTGATCACCAGCGCTATGCAATAGCAGTTCAAACTCTGCCTGTAACATTTCAGCTAGTTGTGTCGCAGTTTCAGAGGTCGGCGAGTAGTCCACCCCCAATTTTTCCCGAAAGGATGCCACTCTGAAATGAACCGTAGGGTGTTTTGCCAGCAACGCGGATGATAAAGCATCCAATCCTTTGATAAGCAAGGTAGCGTCCGGCTCGGCCGCTCTCAACTCCCTTAATCGGGAACGCCATTGCGCCCATTGACGCACTCCCTTAATGGCCTCTGAGATCGAGGTTGCTGAAGATGGTTGCACCAAGAAGTTCAACATTGTGCTGCGCTCATTTGCTCCACCTGGTTGGTAGACCGTCAGCAATTTGTAAAATATCATCACTGACCCCAACATTCGAGTGGAAACGATCTCGGTCTTCAATCTCTCCGGAATCGCCTGCAGCAGTAAAGACACCGCTCTCTGCTCCAACAAAACATGCACAGTTCGAACAACTTTGAGCCCTTCCAGCTCAGCCTTGATGCCCAACCTTTCCAGCGGAGAAACACTCAACCATTTGGCATACGCCTGATACGCCTTTGAATAGACGCATTGCCACCACACTCTTCCTGTATCTGTCAGCGAAGACAACATTGGTTCGATCGTTGCGATCCAATCACCTAGTGCCGTCGGATTGCTTGGTGTGTAGTCTGCCAAGGTAGGAAGGCTCATCACATGCTTCCCAAGAGCCTCCGGACGTTCAGTTCCAGAACTATCACCAATGTTTGGCATACCACGTGGCACCGCTGCTCCAGGAGGTAAGCTGACCCTACCACCAGGCCCTTGAGGCAGTCCATGTCCTATACCAGGCGTAACAGCTGTGAGTGGAACCTTTTCTAATTCCAACTTCCCAGCGATCATTTTCCACCGATACGGAACATCATCCACCATTGTATATCCACCCGATCCTGCTGAGTTCTCTTGCGTCGAAGTTTCCCGAGCTGAAACAAAACCGGGCTGGTTCCCCATAGGTGCGGCAGAACCATCAGCACCTGACGGCAAGGAAGTAATCGGAGCATGTGTTAAACCAGGTGGTCCACTTGCATATCCACCACTTGCAGGACCTCCCATGGGGTAATTCAATGGAGGCAATCTGGAGGGTTTCTTCCCTTCAGCTACATGCATCATTGGCACTTCTTTTTCATCCTCCACTTGAGCATCCCCCTTCCTGGACCCAGGCAAGGATTGAAGATCACAACCCTTTGGCAGGTCGTAGCCCTCAATAGGCAGCCATGTCCCATCAGGCAACACAGTCCAAAAACCACCCCTACCATCAGTGTAGAAAACTTGTCCTGGCGGGTACTGTTTCTCTGGAGTCATTCCCAAGGGATATGCAGCATTTGCGTCCACCACTCCAGTGCTCCGTGCTCGCGAAGCTGACCCAGATGCAGCAGAGGTATAGCTTTTCTCCTCCACCCGATGCAACCTGTTCCCCAGCTCCTTTGTTTGCACAAGCAACTCTTTAAGCGCACGCTTTACCACTGCCATATCTTCACCTTGTTCTTCACCACTCAGATCAGGAATAAGCTCTTCCTCTGCTTGTGTTCCACCTCGTTCCATCTGGCCCATTAAGCCTGACGATGGTCTCTCAACAGGTGCAGGTTCCTGACCCGTAAGATCATGTAGCGATGGTGGCCTCCTCGTAGTTCCACCACTCCTATCCCCTCCGCTTGCAGGAAGACTTGCCGGCCTTGATTGCCTCAGTCTTATTTCTTCTTGAGCCCGCTCGCTCCAGAAAGGATTTGCTGCTGGAACCGGAACCACTTCATTTTCCACCTGAGACGTTGGTTGTATCATTGCAACCTCCCTACCATCTGTCAGCGCTTGTACCACTTGTTGTCGTTCTTCACCCCCATCACCTCGATTTTCTTCGGCTTCGTTGGCCGTGGGCGACAGTCCAGGCTCAGAGCGACGCCGCATCATGTCCATGGCGTTAAACAAACGAAAAATCTTTACCTATACCGCAGGAAGCCTAATTTGGGCTCATAACCTACGGGGGGCAACCAAAGGGAGACAGGAAACCAAACAGTCAACCCCAGAAGAAGCCCTTAAGCTCCCTGGACCAACCACAAACCAAACCCAAAAGACCAAGCACCCTTTTCTCACTGAGTGCATTGTCATCTTGAGCCAAAAAGGTACCGGGTTCATTGACCCTTTTCCTTTCAACACCAACTCTTTCCTGAATACAAATTGCAGCTCCGCACCCTAAGCCCTAAACCCTAAACCCCAAACCCTGAACCCCAGACCCGAGACACCCTTAGGTGCTGGAGCGGCTGTTGGAGCATGGCCTGCCAGAGCAGTTGGAACCGATCTCCAGGGAGGCGGCTCTGTGGGTCGAACTCTAGAGAACCGTAGGGTTTAGGGTTTAGGGTTCAGGGTTCAGGGTTCAGGGTTTAGGGTTAGAACCTTACAGTAGGGGTGAAAAAGTGCTACTTAGGCCTGTTTAGGGGTTCGGTTCTGGGTTGTAGTTTGTTTAGGCTTTTGTGGCGGCTCTGTTCTTTTGAGGGTTCCTGTGCTGGACAGGTTCTGTCCGACATCTTGGAGCGACTCAGCTAAGAAATGAGCAGCTGTACGAGATCTCCTGCCAAGAAATGTGCGTGATGTGCTGCTTTGCCTTGAGGCTCTGCCGGCACCCGTATGGATGCTTGGAAAATACAATATGCTTGCCAGGCTAGTGTGTGTCATGAATTCTTCTGCCATGTGTCAATCCAGCGGCTGAAGAAGGTGCTCACTACCGCGTAGTGTAGCACGACGCCAGCCTTCTCTTATTGCCTGTTGCCCCGAACCCTAAGCCAGCGTGAGTTAATCCCTGCCCACTCCTTGAACCCCAATTTCTCTTTCCCCAGAAGCTCCACAGCCTAAACCGCAAACCCTCAAGCCACAAAGCCTTAGACCCCAACTTCTAAATCGCATACCTTTAACCCTCTTAAGATCTAGGCTACAGCGGACGAGGTTGTCGAGATGTGAGGAGATTCTCTGAGGAGAGTCGGAGAGTCTAGCTAAAGCTTCGACGCGCGTTGGGAAGCCATGCCGCAGCCAAGGTAATTACGTGGTTCAGCACAGCTTGGCTCACGGTAGCCCCGAACAGAGGACCCGGCTTTGTGAGGCGCGTTGCGAGTGCTTCGACACATCGGGATCTCGAACCCCAACTTAGTTGGCAGAGGCGATGCGACCAGAAATGGGTCGTTTGGCGAGGCACAAGGTGCCTGGCTGAGTGGCGGATACTGAGATGGGGCTTTTCGAGGATAGGGGACCCCTGATCTACCCCCAAGTAGTAGGATACCCTTACAATAAGGACCCATTTAGGGTTTTTTAACGTTAAAACACTCCAAGTAGTAGGACACCCTTTTTGTAAGGACCCCAAGATGGTACCCCTAATTTCGGAAACCACCAGATGCGGGTTTGGGAAGGCTGTGGCGTCGTATGATTGCACGAGAGAGACGATGATCCCGAGGTGGCCAGCCATGTGGTGGAGTGCGCGCTCCTGCACAGCTCTCCAGAAGAGAGGGAACAGCTCAAGAACTCCATGGCCGGCAACGCAGAGGAGCGTCTGTGGGGTTTTTTGTTGCAGGAAGAAGAAAACTTGTCTGCCATTAGGTTACTTCTCGTTTTTGCTGTGCCAGGAGCTTGCAAGCAGCTTGGCCCGAACGAGGATCACATTGCCAGCACACCGAAAAGAGTAGCCTGCCCTCGCCACTCTCTTGCGTGTTGAGGTCTCACTGCAAGCAACTACGGCAGTTTTGTGGTGAAAGAGATGAAGAAGCGCTGAGACGGATGTTCGTCAGATGTTTGGATTTGCAACCTTTGTTCCACAACAGTTCGCCCACCGGCGAGGTAGCAAGCTGATCTCTGCCCATATTTCTGGCAGTTTCGGCTTGCTGCCATCTCAATCTGAGAGCTCGTTGTTAGTAATCGAAGCACAGCCGCTTGTGCGATGCCCAAGTGCTTTAGAAACACCTGGCAGCCCAATGTCGAAAAACGACCAAGCTGCCAGCTTCTTGCCCGGGAGGGCGGGCCGACCCAGCTTACTTGAAATGGGAGCTTACGAAACTAAGGGACCCCTAGGATAGAACCCCCCCCCCCCAAATAGTCGGATTTTTTGATGATTCATAGCAAGCACCCCAATAAGGTACCCCGAATTTCGGAAGCCAACTTACAAAACCCGACCATGGCAACGCCTTTTGGCGCTCGGTCTGGGTCGGCCGAGCCCCGGCGATAAATATCGGTGAGAGAAACTTGCACAGACCTCACTTCCGAAGGCTTGACTTCTGGCGGGCTCTCAGAGTTGGAATCAGAGGTTCCCACACCAAGCAGATGCAGTCGCGAGAGAGCTAGAGAGAGTTCCGACTTTGTGTACAATTCCTTTGGAAGCAGACTGCTGCGGACGCTGTCTGGTTCCAGGACTCCCTTTCTCAGCCACTCAGCAGGGCATTTGAGACCTCTGCAGACCAGATCCCCATTTTCGGCTAGACTCGGCCAGAGGGTGTTGAGAGTATTGTGTATTGTTCAGGGTTTGGGGGTTTAGGGTTTAGGGTTTAGGGTTTAGGGTTTAGGGCCGCAGTCTAGCAACGCTTGCAACTTTTAATCCTGTAGGTTGGCCTGCAGTGGGTGACAGTGAATTGAAGATTTTCGGCCTTTGATGGCTCCGTCGTTCAGGAGCTGTCCATACAGTACGTTGAAAAGTTGCCAAGCATGAGTATCACTTGTAAACTGAAGGATGGCAAGCCGTTCCTGTTCCACTTTGTGAGACTGTCCATGCCACGTGGATGCTGAGAACTTGACTCGGGTGAATTTTCGGCCCATGCCTTCTCAATGAAGGTCCTTATAAGCGCCGTGGATAGGGCCTGCGCCTGTGCCTGCGTCGATCGGGAAGTGGCAAGTGCCAGTAAAAGAAGAGCTTCTGCGAGCTTTAGCGAGCTTGGTGGCGAAGACATCATAGTCACTAGGGTGACGGGCCTGCCCTACTCGGAGAAAGCAACGCGACCAGCAACGATGCGGCTTCAGTTCCTGCCATCCGGTTGTTCATCCCAAGATTCACACAGCGATTCTGGAACTGAAGCCGGGCCGGTGGCTTTGACACAATTTTCCATCCGAAGAGACTTAATTCGATCTCGCACGCTTTGACCGCTCAGACCCGACAGAGCCTGCCATATGGTGACGGTTTCTGCCCGAAGACAAGGGTCCGCTGTTGAAGATGCACTGCTGCCTCCAGTAATTGCTTAAGAACCCCCCCCAAAAAATGTTCTTCCTTCTAAGGGTAATATGGGGATTATGATTTTGTATTTTAGTGTTCTTAAGCAAATAGTAGGCCTGCGTTTTAGTGGGCAGGGTTCACGCACCTGCTGCACCTGTGGCACTTGCATACACCTGCCATTACTTGCCCGTGTGCCGCACACGTTGCAACTTTGGCTTTTAGACCGTTGCGAAGTTGAGATCATGGCCATTGAAATCAGCATCGGCACCAGCAGAGTAGTGCATGGCAGGAAGGGCTGCCCACGGAACTTTAGTAGGTGACGATCTCCAGTGCCTTCGTGGAAGAGGTGGACGAGCTCACCTTCGTTGAAACCCTCGAGCCGCGAGCATGCAAGCGCAGGATGGGAGGGGAGGCGGGACAGTCAGAATGCCACGATCAAACCGAAAACAACAGGCACAAGACATTGCGCCGTTGAGAGGCCTTTCTCCGGGCTTGGCTTCCGAGCCGGAAGCAGAACCGCAAGAGGGGCCTCATGTTGCCTCGCGGCTGGGCCCTGTGCGGGCTGGTGAGTCCCGGTGGCTGGCTTGCAATGAAGAGCAAAAGCTTAAGACGAAAGGCTCAGCCAGCTTGTCTTATCATTATTATTATTATTATTATTATTATTATCAAGATTATCATTATCATTATTATTATTGTTATTATTATTGTTATTGTTGTTATTGGCTCGGACGCTCTGTAAACGCGCGTTCAGCATTTGCCGATTCCATCGGTATTTACAGTGTTTCGTGTGCTTCACATGCCGAAAACACCACTGCCACCGGTGATTCCGGCTGTCCACTTTTCACGTTTCTGTAAGTGGCTGAAACATCGGTATTTACAGTGCTTCGCGGCGCTAACATGCGGAAAACACCGGCATTGCGGTGTTTCGCGTGGTTGGCATGCCGGAAATGCTTACGTTTCTGTTTCCAGTCCGTGCGATTGGCCAGAGCATCCATGCCCGAACGATGATTACGTCCGTGTTACCAGTGCGTGCGATTGGCCAGAGCATCCATGCCCGCACGATGATTACGTCCGTGTTACCAGTGCGTGCGATTGGCCAGAGCATCCATGCCCGCGCGATGATTACGTCCGTGTTACCAGTGCGTGCGATTGGCCAGAGCATCCATGCCCGCACGATGCTTACGTCCGTGTTACCAGTGCGTGCGATTGGCCAGAGCATCCATGCCCGAACGATGCTTACGTCCGTGTTACCAGTGCGTGCGATTGGCCAGAGCATCCATGCCCGAACGATGCTTACGTCCGTGTTGCCAGTGCGTGCGATTGGCCAGAGCATCCATGCCCGAACGATGATTACGTCCGTGTTATCACTCGCTCTTTGCGCTTGGCAAAGCCCTTTCCGCCACGCCCGCTTTTCCTGTGGTTTTCGCTCGTCAAAACGAAGAAGTTTACCTGTCTTGGAGAACGCACGTGTACGTACGTGTTCAAAGCAAAGCAACAACCGCTGCACACAAAAACAAAAAAAAACAAAAACGCAAAAAAAGCGTCGGCAGGACGTCTCGAGCGAAACGGTCATTTTGGACGGAACTTGACATGGTTCCGTCCCCAAAATAATCCAAAAAAAAACGTTGTCACGCACTTTCAGTTCTAGGACAGGTGTATTCCATCCCACGCAGGCCACGCGAAATGCATTTATGAAACCCCCCCTAAAAGTGCACGTGCCGTGAACACGCTTCTCCGCGCGCGTTTACAAAGCGTCCGCGCGTTGTTATTGTTATGATGATGATTCTTATGACGAATAATATTATGAATGTTTTTGTTATTATTGCTATTCTTACTATTATTACTACTATATTATGACTACTATTATTATTACTACTATTATTATTATTATTATTATTGTTATTGTTATTTTGTTTTGCATCAGTCGTGATCGACAGGAGCAGCACAGCTCTTTACGAGGGCTACGTGGAGCATCCGGCGCTCCAGTTCGAGAATGACATGGAAGAGCAGGACTTGGGGCTCTCTCCGCCCCCAACTAGGTGAATGGGGGAGAAGACTTCAGAACCATACCCTAAACCCTAAACCCTAAACCCTAAACCCTAAACCCTAAACCCTAAACCCTAAACCCTAAACCCTAAACCCTAAACCCTAAACCCTAAACCCTAAACCCTAAACCCTAAACCCTAAAGCGCAGTAGAAGCTGGTCAGGACCGGCGGCGCCTTCGACATGGCGTGATGGTGTTGGAGGAGCGAGGAGGGTACGTGGCCAACTGAACACATCATGTCAAAAACATCCTTCAACCCTTTTACTACACACCCTCAACCCAGAACCCTTAAACCCGGGGGACCCTACACCCTCAACCCTAAACCGAAACCCTACCATGGTATCAATGGGGAGAAATGGGCTTGCCAACCTTGAGTCAGGATGGTGGCAGCCAGCTTCCGAGATCCACATGGTCCTTCCTGGAATCCTGCCTGCCGAGCTGGATGGAAAGTATCCTGCGGCGGAAACAGAAGGAACCTACGCCCTTGCAGGCCAGGAAGAGGGAGCCTGCAAGCTGTGGGGGTTTGATTCTGGGTTCACACTTTACTCACTGGTTCATGAAAGGTTCTTACACTCCCCTTCTCTTGTGCTTCATCTGGCTTCCGGTTGCTTGCCGGGGCTCTGGCATGGTTCAGCTACGAATGTTGCGGCTGTCTGGTGTCATCTCTAAGCGTGACTGGAAAGTGATGAGAGCAGAGCTACCGGCTTTCCATGCAGGCCACGTCGTGGCCTCTGCTGAGGACGACGTTCTGGCTGTGGTGTGCCTGTCTTGCTGCTAGCTGCGGATGTCGTCCATTCAGCCAGGCTCGCCCCCCAGAGTACTGCCAGAAACTGTGCAGGACGAACCGTGACGTGGTTGTGACTGCAGAGCACGGCTGTGGCAAGACACTGGCATATGTGGTGCCACTGTTGATTCGGGCTGCAGCGTTGAGAGGCGAAGCAACGTAGCAAACTGTTCCCATGCTGAAGATACTGCGACAGTCGATGCATGGGTCATGTCAGGGGAGACCCACGAGCTTTTCCACTGCCTCGATGAGCTGCCGTGGGATCAATGGCGCCAGAGGCCACCCGATGGCGTGGTCCTTGTGCCGGTCAAGGAGGTGGCAGCCCAGGCCACGGACAGGTGACGTGGTGCAAGCCTTGGTGAGACCTCCAACATGTGGTGCAGGTGCGCGAACTGATCGCTCCTTATGCGGCCGCTGGGCGTGTCATCGTGGCGGGAGGCTTGGCCGCGCCCCCCAAGACATGTCAACAGTCTACCGGTGCTGGATGCAGCTTGTTCGTTGTGGCAGGCATGGAGGAGCCTGTCTGCAAGCACAGCGAGGCCGAGGCAACTCAACAACGAGAGGCGTCCAGAGCGTCTTGGCTGAAGTGGTTGAGGAGGAAGTTGCGATGCCCATCCCAAGCCCTAAAAATAACCGCAATAGCCTCAAGCTGGCTCAGGCTGGCGTTCTGGTACTGACTCCATGGCAGCTTGAATACCAATCCTGGGTGCTGGGCAAAGACGAGGACCTAGAGGTCCTGAAGCAGGACTGAAGTGACATTCTCAGGGTGGCATCTGTGTGTGTTTCAGACTCAACTCTGTCTCAGCCTTATGCGGCTCGGTGCATGTTTGCAATGAGAGCCACGTGGTGAGACATAGTCTCTTGTAGTAGCAGCAGGCAGCATGGGACATCGGCAAGTGTGTTTAAACAGCTGTCCTGTAGTACAGTAGCTTTTCGCTCGGCCTTCGTAGTGGAGATGCTCGCCACGGCCTTTTCTGCGCCTCGGCTGACGTGGGCAGCGCTGCCCACCAAGAGGGCGCCGGCAGCTCAAGCTTCGCGCCTGTCGGGTTCTTCTTCCTCGACATGGAGCAAAGTTGCCGCTTGACCAGCACCCGTAGCATGTACTGGCTGTCGCTGCAAGCGTGTTTTAAGCTTTGTCCGCTGCCGTGGCCGTAGGTCGGGTGCGCGGTTGCGGGCGCCGTGGTGCGGAGGATCCGGACAGCTGTCTCTGCGAAGCCTTCATGGCAGCAGAGTATGCTTCGTATCAAAGAGCCTTGGCCATCTCAGGGAAAGCTTGCTTGTAACAGCGTGGGGGGGGGGGCGGTGTTGGTCCACCAATGAGATGCAACTGCAAGGATCCGGAGAAGTCCTTGGACTTCTATAAGAACAAGATGGGCATGCGGCTGCCTGCTTGAATCTCTTCATACTCACGCAAGTAGACTTGGCTTGAAGCACAATTCGCTGTGACCCATGAGACGCGAGCCTATGATTATGCTGCAGATCATGAGTTTTCTTGTATGCACGAAGCTCTGCATCAGCCAGGCTGCTGGACAAGCTGGATTTCGAGGGCATGGGCTTCTCTCTCTACTTCCTAGCTTCCGTGCCCGAGGGCGAGAAAACCCCGGAGCCGGGCACCGTGGAGGCACACCAGTATCTCTGGACCTATCCAGGCACAACCTTGGAGTCCAAGCCCAAGTAGCAGTTGCTGTTTTTTGGTTGTTTTTTTCTGGGGGGGGGGGGCTTCCTTTCGTGACGGGCTCCGCCATTAGTGGGGAACCAAACGGGGGGACCTTAGTTTGGACCAGTATAGCAGCCCCTGTTCCGAAAACTTGCAGGGTGCCTGCCATTGGGTGGTGGAGAAGGTGGGGTGGGGCAGGGAACTGAAGCACTCTACCTGCACCTCAAACCGGGGAAGGGGTTGCTGAGCTCTGCCGGCCTCTTTCTTTGTCACTGACAGCCACGCAGTGGTCTCTAAGGAGCTGACGCACAACTATGGCACGGAGAAGGAGGAGGGACCCATCTACCACCCTGGCAACCAGCCCAGAGAAGGCGACAGGCCGCCCCCCGAGCCGGAAAAGTGCTCTTGCGCATCTCAACAACCTTCAAACGTACACAGAGAGAAAAGTTTGCAATGAGTTTGCAAGGCTTCCTATTCTCGGGCTGTTGATGCGCTTGCTTCTCAAGAGGCGGGATGGTTTCGGCCATGTGGCCTTTTCCGTGAACGATGTCTACGAGACGAGTGAGAGCCTGGAGAAAGCCGGTGTGAAGTTCCAGCGCTTTGATGACAACATCTCGCTTATCGGTTTTCGGGCCTGCGGGTTTTCATGACTCAAGAATATAAGGGCATATAATATGGGTCCTCTCCATAACAAGCCAGGGTTGGAATTCGGACTCACGCACTTTGTGGAGCCTTCTCGTGCTTCTGTGCCTCTGAGGAAGAAGCCTGATGAAGGGAGGATGAAAGGGTTAGCCTTTGCCTTGGACCCGGATGGCTACTGGGTTGAGCTGCTCAGGGGTGGAGCTCCCGGACGCCACACCCTTGCCCAGACCATGCTAAGGGTGAAGGATCCGAAGAAGTCCCTTGACTTCTACACGAAGCACATGGGCATGACCCTGCTGGCGCACCAGGACTATGACGACTTCTCCTTGTACTATCTGGGAACAGTGCCTGAAGGCGCGACGGAGTTTCCTCAAGGCAGGCCAGTGCTGGAATTGACACACAACCATGGCACAGAGGACGAGGCCGAATTTTCATACCTCAGTGGGAATGAAGCTGACAAGAAAGGGTTTGGACATGTTGGTTTCTTGGTCGACGACGCTACTTGGTGTTGAGTTTGCACCTTTTTTTTGCCCTTGTCGTGTTCAAAATCAGGCGTATTGGCGGGGGGGGGGGGGGGCCTTGTGCCACCTAAGGTGTACGAAACCTGCAAGGAGCTGGAAGCTTCGGGCTATGAGATGCAGAAGGCGCCAGATGGCGGATCGATGAAAGGCCGGGTTGCAGACACTTGAGCACGGGAAGGATGCCACAGGTACCGGCAGCCACTAGAATCCACTTGAAATTTAACACGTTCGGGACGACAGGGGTGTTTGATCGCATGCCTGCGAGTTTTGCAGGCCTGGCTTTTGCGCGTGATCCCGATGGATATTGGGTGGAGATCATCAAGCGTGGAGGGTATGATGCAGAAGCGACGCCCTATTTTTTTGAGAAGTCCTAGTTCATCATGAGGTGCTGTTCAAGCAAATTTTCGGCGACTGAGTGCCCCAAGCTATCGTTACCAGAAATGGCCGAGTCCGAAAGTGCTTCTGCTGGCTGCGGACTGAGTACTAGTTCCCAGCTGTTAATTGTGCAGATGCCAGTCGCTGCCAGTTTCCGCAAGCGAGGATGTGCTAGTTGTCTTTGACGATGCAGACGAGATTGTGAAGGACTGTCCTTTCTGGTTGTCTGGGATTTGGTCTTTTTGAGGTTCAAGGGTCTTGGGTGGCCTCAGCAGCATCAGCAGCATCAGCATGTGTACAGAAACATGTATGCATATATGTATATACATATGTATATGTATACGTATTCGTATATGTATATGTATATGTATATGTATATGTATATATATATATATACATACACATACATATATACACACGGATAATGCAGGATGGCGATGACGATGGTGCGCAGGCGAGCTGCAGCCTTCACGCAGCAGTTCAAGTTGAGACACGTCTGCTGCGCCAGGCAAGAACGATTCTCGAGCTTCTGCCCAAGAGAAGACAGCCGGTCCCCTACTGCATGCAGCGCAACGGCGCGCTCCTTCGTTGCAGCTTCGCTGCTGAGACTTGCGTTCTTCTCCACAACCTGGCCACCACGGGCTGAGCAAATGGCGAGGAGGCTTCCGCAGCCATTGCTGGGGTGTGTGTGTGTGTGTGTGTGTGTTTATTTTTGGATCTTTTCAAGATCCTTTCAGCCTATCAGTGCGCGGCTCCGGGTCACAGTGCAGTGCTCATAACTCCGAGGGCATATCCCATGTAGTGCCGTGCTTTTAGTCGCGTGAGTGGCAGGCACCTGCGTGGAGACGCGGTGGTCGTCCACGCAGCCTTCGAATGCATGCAGAATGCGAGCAGTTGGCAACCTGGGAGTAGCTTTTTAACAGCTGTGCTTCTGAATGGTGCAACGTGCAACAGACTCTCATTATTCGGTGATTTAAGGTCACTGCCTCGAGTCGCGATTTGTGACGCAGCATTTCAAGGCAAGATGCCAGACGCCAACTCACCGGTACCAAGGGCTTGGGGTCCAGGGCCAAAGTTTTAAGCATGAAGAATCTTGAGCTGGGCCTTGTTGCTGCAGGTTCTTCATCCACTTGCCAAGCCAGGAGCACAGACACCGCCCCTAGCCCCCCAGAGTTCACTCAGAATGCCCCTGTCGCCTAACTGATGCTTGCGAAGTCGTCACGAGCCTTTGTCGGGCTCAAGTCGGCTATGGCCTGTGAAGAGTTCTGCCGCCCACGCAGCCGAGTTGTTCCGGTGAAAGCAAGCCAACCAGTACCCTAAACCCCAGAGCCTTCACCCTCAAACCGTCTTAACCCTTACACCCATGCAGAACCTGGGTCCAAGAGGGCAGCGTAAAGGTAGAGCACGCTTTGCCTTGCAGCCCGTTTGCATCCTGCATGGTCGCTATCCAGGTGCCGATTCAACACCTCTGCACTGCGGAGGGCTATAATGGTAGGTTGGGATGTTCCCCCTCATACTATCTAAAATCCCTATGAAAGACTGTTCGAAAAGAGGGAACATCCCAAAATGGTAGGAATGTCAGTGTCCAGTCTCTGCCTCGCATGCCAGGTCGCCAGGTGATGGGATGTTTGCCAAAGCGCTAGGAGCAGGCTTCGCATGGGCCCCCCTTGCTTTTGTTCAAAAGAAGGCCCCCCCCCTGCTGGGCCGTCTTTCTGGAATACCTGCATCCTGCAGTGCCCTGCAGTGCCCTGCAGGCCCGGCCTTGTCTGTGCTCGAGCTGGACTGTGCCCGAGGCTCAGGAAGATTGAAGGGTGCTCGTGAAGGCCACCCCGACTTCGACATCTCCTCCGTTTCCATTTGCTAGGCGCCAGAGCAAGCATCCGCGGTCGCGCCACCGCCGCCTTTGGAAGCAGACACTGAGGCAGAAAGCGAGCTGTAGCTACTCCGGCAGGGCGGCCATGAACATGAGAGAGTTTTGGGCATCAGCAATCTGTCTGTCGAGCTTCTCTTGTTCAGGCAGCAATCTGTCTGTCGAGCTTGTCCTGTTCAGGCAGCAAGCGTGCCCAGACGCTCGAAACGTGAGCGTGATGGGGCGCAGAAGCTGCTGGAGGCGTGCACGCGAACTTTAGCATCTGGTTTCTTAGATCAGCTTCGCTGGCGGTCAGGACCTGGCAAGGCACATTCGGTTGAAGGCCGCGCGCATTGGCGACAAGGTCGTCCATGAAGGAGCGCCCAGAGCAAAAGGGTTGCATCGCAGCAGTGAGTACTGCAGTGCTGAGAATTCTTCCGAGTGCCCACAGAACATGACTGGAGTTTCCGAGGACTACATTCGGGGCCCGGTATGCAACCGCTTCCTTGGGCCATCCTTCGCCCTGGGGATCCTTCAGAAGTGCGGAGGAGGCCCGGAAACTGTCCGACACACGAACGAAAGTAGAGTTAGGGTTCAGGGTTCAGGGTTCAGGGTTCAGGGTTCAGGGTTTAGTTTAGGGTTCACAAATCTGCACCCTCAATGAACCCTTGCCCTGCAACCTGCTGCTCTTGGGGCGTCCCAAGCGAGATCTGCGGGGAGGTGGCCGGTGCCTCGCCCAAAGGAGGAGCCCCGGCCTGCCACATGACTGTTTAGGGTTTGGGGTTTAGGGTTTAGGGTTAGTTTAGGGTCTAGGGGGCCTTAGGATCTTTTGTAAGCTCCTCTTTGAGGACACGTCAGCTGCGACTGGCCCGGACTTGCTGCGTCGGTTGCGGAAACTGCGCAACCCGGAAGCCAGACCGGGCTACCCGGCCAATGCCATCGAGAATGCCCCAGGACACCACGCTACGTCAGCTCCCCAAGTGCCCTGGTAGAAAGTTCTGTGCAAGCGCCCGGCGCAGGATCGGAGGCTTCGGCCCTGGTCGAGAAGGCCCGGCAACCTGCGCAGGAGCACGAGATGAAACTCCGAAATTCGAGCTAGACATGGCCCCCGCATGGTGCCCCACATGGCCCGAGGCCGCGACGCTGCTGGCTGGCCTTCTCCAAGTCTCGGGAGAAGTCCCGGCAGAAGTGCCGGAGCCCGAAGCGGCACCTATGCAAGAGGCCGACGAGGCCGAGGAGGCTGCAGGCGCCCTGGCCAAGGCGCGGGTTCTCTCCTGGCTCGGGGGTTCCACGTCGTTTTCAGCAGCCGTTTAGCTTGCGCATCATTGCTCACGACACCTGAAGCACTCCAGCTCTTCCAGAATTTTCAAGTTGAAGGAGGACTTAAAGCAACCCCTCCCCGAAGCCTAAGTTCTTGACGCTGGCGTCATCAGCTCATCCGCAGTATCTCGGCTGTCTACTAGACCACTAGACACTGCCATCTTCTGACCGCTCTTCACATGCCATCCGTCATGAAATTCAGTCAGCCCTTCGATGATCTGCAACCTCTTAGCTTGGCTTCAAGGAAAAATAGGGCTTGTGTCACGCCGCCATGATCAAGAAACACATGCTGGGGTGACTGCGGAGCGCGGAATGGCCCCGGAGGTCACTGCCATCTGTAGCCGCTGTAGCCAGGGAAAAGTGAGTAAACGAGATGAAGCTGAGAAGTTGACGGGGTGCCTTGTGATATCTTGTGATGCCGCTGCGGAGCCGCAAGCGACGGTGTTTCGTGCGAGTGTCCGATGCCAGCAAGACTGATCCATGGACCCGCGCTGGACGCATCGCTCCGCCAGTCAGGGCAAGTAGCCCAAAGGGCGGTCGTAGCAGTTACCCGCCTTCACCAAGCGGCGAAAGCCGCGAAGCGCTCCCACGCTGCAGAGAAGTTTGACCCCAGGAAACTCGTCAAGTTCCATGAGGAGCTCACGGACCCAGACACGCTGGCAGCCATGACTCCTCGCCAGCTGTGCTTGGTAGCCTGGTCGGTGGGGAGATTGCAGCTGGGTTCCTTGACCGAAGCAGAGGAGTTACCACGCCTTGTAGCAAGCAGGGCCTCCGACATGGATGCGCAGGGCATCTCCATGACCTTGTGGTCCTTTGCTGCGCTTGCGGTGCAGGGTCCCCTCGTGGAGGTGGTTCTCGGCCATGCCGCCGTGGCCGTGCCACAGATGTCCGCCCAGGGAGTATCCAACACGCTCTGGGCGTGTGCATCGCTACGGCAGTTTCACAAACCCCTCCTGCTGGCCGTTGAAGCAGTGCCCGCCTCCATCCTGTCCGCTGGCTCCACACAGGCCGTGGCCAATGTGGTGTGGGCCACGGCGCGGCTCTCAGTGGAAAGCCCCCTGCAGCGTGCTGCGGTCGCGGTCGCGCAGCAAAGGGCTCGGGAGCTCCGAGCCGAGGAGGCCGCAGCGGTCCTCTGGGCCTTGGCCGCCTTGGCCCAAGGCAAGGCCTGCGAGGAGACGTTGGCTGTGATGTCCGTTGTGTCGGAACAGGCACTTCGGCAACGGACGCCGAAAGCCATGGCTGCATCAGCGTGGGCCTTTGCCACTCTGGCAGTGACAGGGCCATTCTGGCCTCGGATGGCAGCCGCAACTCTCACCGTCTTGGGTGCACAGGGCTTTTCGCCACAGGAGCTGGCCCACACATGCTGGGCTTTTGCCACAGTGCTGTGCTCGCGGCGAGCGATGCCTGGACTGTGGACCGCACTCGCCCGTGCGGCCCTGGGTCAGACCAAGCTGTCTCCGACGGAGCTCGCGGCCGTGTCATGGTCCATGGCCGCCGTTCGCTTTGTCTGTCCAGAGTGGTCGGCAAACCTTCCTCGGCTGTGCAAGGGATGCAGAGGCATGAACTTGCGAGCGCTGGCCTCGGTGGCGTGGTCGTGGACAACGCTTGCTTTCAGCAGCCGCTTCTTGGAAGAGGAGGTCATGCCTGCTGCGGACAAAGAGGTGCATTTTCATCTGCAGCAGCTTGGCACGGGCTCCAGCTTGGAGAGGCCCAAGCCAGAGGTGCACAGAGAGCTTTTGGATCCCTTGCTTCAGCTCGTTTGGGCCTTCTCCTTCGCAAAGGTCCGTGCGGAACCTCTGATGACGTCGGCCTCGAGCTTGGCTATTGAAATAGGACGGCGCTGGGATTCTTGCCTGCCCTTCAAGGCCCCAGGCGATGAAGCCCCCGCCGATGTCACTGAGGGGCCAGAGCCAGAAATCCTTCTAAGCGCAGATGGCATCCTGTTTCTTCACAAGCCGCCCGGGTGGGAGGTGGATGGAGGCAAGGATGCGGTGCCACGTCCTGGATCATCGCCTCCGAAGCTGTCATCCTTTCTCAGAGAGCTTTACCCTCACCCCGTGCTGAGGGACTTGGCATGTGGATTTGGCTTTTTGGGGCGCTTGGACTTGCCCTCAGAAGGGCTCGTGCTTGCGGCCACATCGTACCAGGCATACTACACACTGCGGCTGCAACAGGACTGCGAAAGAAGGGAGGCTTGAGGTTTACGGGTTCCCTGACAGAGTATGAGAGGCAATAGGTATGACGAGGTGGGGATGTTGGGGACTGCAGCAATGGTGCCTTCAGGAGACCCTGGCTCTTGAGCGGGAGTACATCGCACTCTGCCATGGTCAGATGCCATTCGGCCTGAACGTTGTTCGCGCCGCCATCCGCGGAATCCCGCTGTCTGGCAGCATTGTGTCTGATGATGGCTTTCCTGCCGAGACGCGCTTCCTGCCCTGCGCCTGGCTGCGTGGACAGGCCGGCGAGCTGTACACGCTCGTGGCGGCATCCATCGTCACGGGGCGGAAGCACCAGATCCGGGTGCACTTGGCACACTTGGGTCATCCGGTGGTGGCGGATCTACGGTACGGGACCAGTTTCCCTGCCGTGCTTGGGCCCGGTGTTGGCCGCCAGTTCCTTTTTCGATACCGGCTGGCAGTCCCCGGAAACGTAGCCGGAGGAGGCTTGGAGGTGGCGCTCCCGCTCGCAGCAGACCTCCGTGAAGCGCTGGAAGCCCTGAGCCCTCTCAACGAGGCCTCGGCACGTGCCTGGCGGCACTGGACCTCTGGAGCAACGCCCTTAGCCTTCAGTGCTCTGGAGCAAGAAGACCTGATGCGGGAAAACCTGTGACATGCTGCAATAGATGAGTGGGTTGAAGTTGGTAGTACTAAGAGCCCTAAACCCTAAACCCTAAACCCTAAACCCTAAACCCTAAACCCTAAACCCTAATCAACCCTAAACCCTAAACCCTAAACCCTAATTAACCCTAAACCCTAACCCTAAACCCTAGACCACGTTAACCTGCGAGGCCTTCCTTGCTCTTCATGGGGGAGGTGCCCGGCGGCGCTTGCTGGCGCTCTCCGCCGCCCTGAAGAACAATGAGGTCCAGGGAGCGGGGGAACTCGGAAGGAAGTGCGGGTTCCGAACTTGGGGGTACCTTATTAAATACTATTTGGGGTCTATGTTCGGGGTCCCTTATTTTCGTAAACCCCCAAGTCTTGCAGATCCTTAAGCTCGTCACCGAAGGCGCTACGGAAGGAGATCCTCGCTGCTGGCTCGGCCCGGGCTCTTGCCATTGCGCGGCAGGCGCAGGGGGGGGGGGGGGGCGAGGCTTCTGAAAACAGATGCAGAAACAGCTCAGGAGCTCAGGTCAGAAGTATTCCGCAGGCGCAGCACAAAACCTACTGCTAGCATGACCCGACAACCTCAACACAACTCCCGGGGGACCACAAACTGATGTTGCCGAATCATTTTTCGAAGAAAAGACATGGCGGGGATTCGCGCCAATCACGAGATTTCTCAAGCCAAGAATTCGACTCTGTCAGGACCCCCGGGAGTGGGCCTGCTCCGAGCTGCAGGCCAAGCGGCAGCGCTGGGCCCTGGAATCGCTCCAAGAGGCAAAGATGCCCAGTGCCTCGGCTCCTGGAGAGAGAAGGGGAGCTGACGGTGTTCCCTAATTTAGGGTTTAGGATTTAGGGTTTAGGGTTTAGAGGTTTAGGGGTTTAGGGTTTAGGGTGTTATGTGTTCCTTCCCGGGTTCGCTTTGTCAGCAGCCAGAGCCGTAGCAAGTGCGTGTAGGGGACGTTCGCCTTTTCCCTTTCAAGGTGGCCAGATGGCCCGGTGCCCCGAGCGCCGGACCCAGAGAGCTTGGACTCAGAAGCACGTGGTAAACAGCGTTTAGGGTTTAGGGCTTAGGGTTTAGGGTGTAGGGTTTAGGGTTTAAGGTTTGCGATGTAATCAGCTGCCTTGGCATTTGCAGCCTGGTCGAAGCGCGTGCTTCTTTTTGACAGGAAGCGCTCATATCTCTGTGTTTGTCGTCTCTGCCTCTTTGCCTCTCCGCCTCTCTCTGTCTCTCTCGTCGCGACTTCCAGCATGGCGCTCTGAGGTGCGGGGGCAAGGCCTTCGTGAACACAGGGCGAGCAGGAAGCGGCCGCGCTGCGTCCATCTCTTATCTGTAGATTCGTGTTCTCACAAGGAATGTCCCTTTGCGACTCATTGTGACGACATCGCGTGCCAAGGCGACTCTCCAAGCAGTACGCTCACTTCAAGTGCACTGAAGCGAACTGCGGGAAAGAGATACATCTTAAAGAAGGCTAGGAGCAAAGCCAGCCTTCACATCTGCATCTTCCATGCATTTTCCCTCGTCCAAGTAAGTCTTGGCGATTCCTGGGTTCTTGGTCCTGCCAACTAGCACACCCTGTGCAGCTGGGATTGTGGTCTGTGGCGCAGAGCCATTCAAAAGGCGAGAAGGATCTGCCTGCTGCCATGTGCTGCCCAAGTCTCGCAGAAGGAAGTCCTCTCAGGCGAGCCCTCAACAGAACGCTTTGCTCGAACTTGCGACTTCATTGTTCGAACTCTTCTCATCTTGTATCTGTACTAGTTCATCTTCGGCAGCCTGACCCGCCCTCATGACATGTTACGCCCAAGTCATGCTGCTGGCCTCCTTATCCAAACATACACGTCTCCTGCGAGTGAAAATGCTCTGATATGACCAGAACACTTCAGAACTCTGATCTTCTCGACTCAAGAAAATCCCGAACCCTAAGCCTCCACATCGCCTGACCCTGCCCCTGAAATCCCAAAGGGAGCAGTAAGCCGAAAGCCCCCCAAAGCTGCCAAGGTTATTGAGGCTCGTGAAGCACAGAAAACTCCCCCCCCCCCCTGCCCCCAGGCTCGCATAAAACACCTACAGCAACACGCCTGAAGGCTCGCAACCTGTAAAAGCGTCTAACAAGCCTCCAAGAAAAGCCAAGCAAAATGTCCTCTCAAACCTTCTTTGATGAGATTTAGGAGGTATTAGGCCCCCTGGGCACCCTTTCTAACCCTACACTAAACCCTAAACAAACCAAAGCCCAAGGTACCACCCCAAAATATCGTAAACCCCCAATATGGGGGTGGGGTGGGGTTTGAATACCCTAAACCCTAAACCCTAAACCCATTGCCCTGCTTTAGGAAATGTTTCCGGGGGGGGGGGGGGGCTGCGTCAGTTACCGATGGTTTCGTGGAAACATTTTTGGCGGTCGGAATTGTTACCAGGAGACCTCCCCCCCAGGCTTGGTAACATTTTAGCTTGTGTGTCTTGCCCACACAAAAACCTGCACATACGTGCTTTGGTTCTCTGTCTCTGTTATGTTCTTGAAATGTTACACGGATTGTGGGGTAGGTTTGCATGTTTTTCCCAGATGCCCGGCGAGAGACCTGGAAATGTTACCGGTAACTTTTCGGGGTCCCCCCCCTTTAAGGCAAGGGCCATCTAAACCCTAAACCCTAAACCCTAAACTCTAAACCCCAAACCCTAAACCCTAAACTGCCCTAAACCCCAAACCCCAAACCCTAAACCCTAAACCCTAAACCCTAAACCCCAAACCCCAAACCCTAAACCCCAAACCCTAAACCCTAAACCCTAAACCCTATTAGGATCGGGCCTCCGAGGCCGGAACAGCTCCGCGAGGCGCTGGCGCTGCTGCGGCCCCAAGGCCCGCGGCTTCAGGGCGGGTGCGCTTGGAGGTGCTGAGTGGCTGCAAGTTTAGGGGTTTAGGGTTTAATTAGGGGTTTAGGGTTTAGGGTTTTGGGTTTAGGGTTCAACTAGGGGTTGGGGTTTCGGGTTTGGGGTTTGGGGTTTGGCTGGAGGGAATAAGGAAAGGGAATTCATGGTGCTATGACGTATGGGGTTGGGCAGTAACACGCGATGATTGTATTCTGCGAGGCTCTGGATGGGCCCAATACGTGAATGCGCTGGCAGCACGCCGTTTAAATGCGGTTGCAACACACGCGTAGATATGCTGGGCAGGGATGCGATGAAGGGACGGATAATCACGCCGAGGCCCATGCGAAATTAGGTCCCAGCTGCCCAAACAAGTGGTTCGGTGGGTTGAGGGAGGGTTGTCTCCTAGCGGTTTAGCTCGGGTTCAGGTTTGGGTCGTGATTTCGGGTCCAAACTTGAGGGATTAGGGTTCCGTGTTTTAGGGAACCTCAAGAGTTCAGCGTCTTCATGGTTGAGGGTTTAGGGTTTGGGTTCGGCATTCTTGAGGGGTTTAGTGAGTGCCCCAGGTGCAACATGTTTCGGACGGACCCTGAACCCCAGACCCTAAACCCGAAACCCTAAATCCTAAACCCTCCCTAACGTGCTAGTGCCCAAGAGGCACCTGCATGGCCATCGTCTTCTGCAATGGCGAGGCCGTGGTTGAAAAGGCCAGATGCGGGCCGCTTAGGGTTGATAGAATGGAGTGTGTACATGCAGATACATAATGTGTGCGTACATATATATATATATGTATATATATATATATATGCTTCACGGGCCGCGGTGACCCCTGAACTCCGCCCCGCCCCCCCAAAAAAACCCAATCCTCTACATAACGCAAATGTATGCAATCCTTGAGATGCTGAGTCCTCTCCATCTGTCCAAACACTGGGCACAGCGACCTCCTCCCGTCCCTTCCGCTCCGCTACGCTCTCTGGTTTTTGTAAATGCTTTTTCTTTCAGGGCTTATCCTTAAAACCCTATCGGTTAAAGTTTAAGTCTTGTAAAAAGAGACGCCCCGAAACCCTATAGGGTTTAAGGCTTAAAGCCGATAGGGTTTAGGCTTAAACCTGAAACCTGAACCTTTAGATCCATAGGGTTTAAAGGTTAAGCAATCACACCTAAACCCTTAACCTTTACATCCTATAGGGTTAATAGGTTTGAAGATTTAAGATCTAGGTATTCAAACCTAAGCCCATGGAGTTTAACCCGTAAGGGTTTACGATTTAGGCATCTAAACCTGAACCCTTTAGGGTCAAGACCCGGAAAGCCTATAGGGCTCTAACAGCCTCAAAAGTTTTAACCCCATAGGCGATGAAGGTATACATGCCCAGACCTTAGGTTGTTAAGCCTTTAAACCCCATAAAGTCTAAAGGTGTAGGGATTTCAAGGTTTATCTCTAAAGCCCTCACGGGGTTAGCCCTATAGGGTTTGAACCCTCTAGGCCTAGAGGGTTCAACAGTTTAGGGCTTAAGGTTTAGGCATTGCCTATAGGATTAGAGCCTGAAAAACCCTATATGGCTACAGGCGTAAATCCCTAAACCTAAAATCCCTTCTGGTTATGCCTCTGTTTTTAGGGCTTGGTGGAAATGCAAAGAATAAGCAGGTATCGGGTTCAAAGGTTTAGGGGTCTTCAAGGTTTATAAGCCCATAGAGTTTAAACCATAAGGGCTTACGGTTTAGGCATTTAAATCTAAATCCTAAGCCCTTTAGGGTCAGAACACTGAAAGCCTCTGGGGCTCTAAAAGCCTCAAAAGTTTTAGCCATATAGGCACTGAAGGTATACATGCCCAGACCGTAGGTCTTTAAACCTTTAAACCCCATAAAGTTTAACGGTTCAAGATTTTTCAAGGTTTATCTCTAGAGCCAGCACTATAGAGTTTAAACCCTATAGGCCTAGAGGGTTCAAAGGTTTACGGTGGAGGCATTACCTAAAGGATTAGAACCTTATAGCCCTGTGTACGACTCACCTTTACGTACTATTTGATGGTTCTGTTTCCCCTTTCAAAGTTTTAAGGATTTTAAAGAATTTAAAAGGAGCCTTCAATTCTTTAAAACCCTCAAACTCCTTAAGATTTTGAAAGGCCACTGGCTTTCAAAATTGTAAGGATATTAAGGATTGTAAAAGGCCACTTAAATGCTTTAAAATCCGTAAAATCTTGAAAAATGTTAAATTCTTTTGGGAAGGGCCCGGCCCATTAGAATTTTTTTAAAATCCTGAAATTCCTTAAGTCCTTGAAATTTTGAGACAAAATAGCTATTTTGGGAAAAGGCCCGGCCCATTTAAATTTTCTAAAACCCTTGAAATCCTTAAACTTGTCGAGACACACGGGCCGGTACAAGCCGGTACACAACGGTACAAGTTGTACCGGCCCCGCCCCTGGAACCAAGAACCAAGAACCAAGATTGCAGGGAGGTCTTGCCCTGCAATCTTGGTTCTTGGTTCTTGGTTCTCTGGGGCCGGTACAACTTGTACCGATTTGTACCGGTTTGTACCGGCCCGTATGTTTCGACAACATAGAGACCGGTACAAACCGGTACAAATCGGTACAAGTTGTACCGGCCCCATGGAACCAAAAACCAGGAACCAAGATTGCAAGGCAAGACCTCCCCGCAATGTTGGTTCTTGGTTCTTGGTTCCAGGGGGCCGGGGCCGGTACAACTTGTACCGATTTGTACCGGTTTGTACCGGTCTCTACTGTTGCAATATAAACATATAGATAAGCAACCAGATATAAGGAAACAAAGAAAATCTAAATCAACACGCTGGGACAAAGAAAACAAATCACGAACGAAAAACAGAAATACGCAGTGCCCGAACAAGAAAAACACAAAAGAAGCAGAAAAGGCGTGGATAACTGGGGGGCATATATATATATATATCTGTGTTTTTTTACGTATGTACATATCGTGTGTAAGGCGTAGATAATTTTTTTGGTAACAAGATTGATGGATAAGTGCTAAAAGGGGCCACCCTCGACAAGAATCAACCCCGCGTAGGGTTTGCTTGCGTGTGTAGGGTTTATATCGTTGTCGTAAGAGGCGCTTCTAGGATGTATGCTAGGACTGCCAACTACCCCCGAACCAATCCTCAACTCTTGAGGTGGCCGAGCAGCTTGGGGAGCAAGCTTACGCTGCCGTCGCCCTGCACGATCGGATGCCTTCGGCGTCTTGGCTGAACCATCTCAGGGTTGCACAGGAGTCAATTTTGGTGCTACCTGAGATACGGACTAGAAAAGGTCTAAAGACCCCTTGTTGAGGTTCATTTGTGCTGTGGAGCCCCTTTCCGGGGGCCCCTCTCCTATTTAATCCCTGAATTTAGGATCTGCAAGGGAATGAAAGAGGCATTTTGGGGTTTATGGACTTGGGGTTTAAGGTCCGGAGTTTTTGGGTTTAAGGGCGCCAGGGCCGAGTGCCTGGTTGGAGGCCCTGGTCGCGGAGCGGTTCTTGGAGTTGCAGAAGCCCTCGGTGCTTGTCGCGCGGATCTCATGGGTTTTAGGGCTTAGATGCAAAGGGTTCATCAGGGTTTTGGGTTTAGGGGTTTAGGGGTTTAAGGGTTTAGGGGTTTAGGGGTTTACGGGTTTAGGTGTTTAGGGTTTCGGGGTTCAGGGTTTCGGGGTTTAGGGTTCAGGGTTTGGCTGTCGGGCCCACTTCAGCCGAGCAGCTTGGGTTTGGACCGCAGCCTTAGTTTCAAGAGGGCTTAGATGCAGGGTTGCTGAATTTGCAGTGGCCGGGTGTTCAAGCCAACCAAAACATGGGTCCGAACCAGGCACTTACAGCGTTCCGTCTCCGCAGCTGTCTATTTGTGAGTAAAGTCAAGGTGGGGTCAAGAAGAGATCTTAGTTGACCACATACCTTCAACTCTACCGTGCTTAAGGCCCGGCCCTGCGTTGCCAAGTGGAGCTAAGTTAGTTTCTCCTAAAGAGAGTCGCCCCGGATCGAGAGGTGGTTGCGTCATGCCCCAAGGGAGACCTGTGCCATGGCCCGTTTTCACTGCAGCTTTCTTCCAAGAGTCTACGCGGCTCGGCTGCTGCATCTGTAGTGACGTTGCAGGCTTGTTCCGTGGGCGTTCAGGGTATATATTCTTTGGTCTTTGTGGGTTTTTCAACCCTCACTCCCCGGAACCAAGCTTGTAAGGGCAGGGGGTCGCGGGTTTAGGGTTTAGGGTTTGACGTCAGCAGCGAAGGAATAGCTGTGTCTTCGTGGCTCGACCGAGGAGGATTGTGCAGCTACGGGATTCCGGGAAGGTGCAGTCATGAGCCCAATGGTCCTGGGCACGTTCTCCTAAAGTACCCTCATGGGGACCCCAGCAGCAGAACATCCCCTGTCTGTCTCTGTCTGTCTGTCTGCGTGCGTGCGTGCGTGGGTGCGTGGGTGCGTGGGTGCGTGGGTGCGTGGGTGCGTGGGTGCGTGGGTGCGTGGGTGCGTGGGTGCGTGGGTGCGTGGGTGCGTGGCTGCGTGGCTGCGTGGCTGCGTGGCTGCGTGGCTGCGTGGGTGCGTGGGTGCGTGGGTGCGTGGGTGCGTGGGTGCGTGGGTGCGTGGGTGCGTGGGTGCGTGGGTGCGTGGGTGCGTGGGTGCGTGCGGGTGCGTGGGTGCGTGGGTGCGTGGGTGCGTGGGTGCGTGGGTGCGTGGGTGCGTGGGTGCGTGGGTGCGTGGGTGCGTGGGTGCGTGGTGCGTGGGTGCGTGGTGTGCGGGCGTGCGTGCGTGCGGGCGGGCGGGCTGGCCCCCCCCCCCCCGGGGCGTGCGGCGTGCGCTTGCGGGCGTGCGGGCCGTGCGGGCGTGCGGGCTGCGGGCTTGCGGTGCGTGCGTGCTGCGGCGTGCGGCGCGTGCGGGCGTGCGGGCGGCGGGGTCTGCGGCAGTGCGGGCGGGCGGGCGGGCGTGCGGGCGGGCGTGCGGGCGTGCGCGGTGCGTGGCGCGTGCGTGCGCGTGTGTGCTTGCGCGTGTGTGCGTGCGCGTGTGTTGCGTGCGCTGTGTGCGTGCGCCCCTGTGTGCGTGTCGTGGTGTGCGTGCGGCGTGCGTGTGCGTGCGCGCGTGCGCGTGCGCGTGCGCGTGCAGCGTGCGCGGCGCGTGGGCGTGGGCGTGTGCGTGTGCGTGTTGCGTGTGCGTGTGCTTGTGCGTGGCGTGTGCGTGTGCGTGTGCGTGTGCGTTGCGTGTGGGTGTTGTGTGGTGTGTGTGTGTGTGTGTGTGTGTGTGTGTGTGTGTGTGTGTGTGTGTGTGTGTGTGTGTGTGTGGGGGTGTGTGTGTGTGTGTGTGTGTGTGTGTGTGTGTGTGTGTGTGTGTGTGTGTGTGTGTGTGTGTGTGTGTGTGTGTGTGTGTGGGTGCGTGGGTGTGTGGGTGCGTGGGTGCGTGGGTGCGTGGGTGCGTGGGTGCGTGGGTGCGTGGGTGCGTGGGTGCGTGGGTGCGTGGGTGCGTGCGTGCGTGCGTGCGTGCGTGCGTGCGTGCGTGCGTGTGTGCGTGCGTGGGTGGGTGGGTGGGTGGGTGGGTGTGTGGGTCTGTGTGTGTGTGAACCTGTGTGTGTGTGTGTGTTTGTTCGTTTTGTTTGTTTTGTTTGTTTTGTTTGGTTTGTTTGTTTTGTTTGTTTTGTTTGTTTGATTGTTTGTTTGTTTGTCTGTTCGTTTTGTTTGTTTTGTTTGTTTTGTTTGTTTTGTTTGTTTTGTTTGTTTGTTTTGTTTGTTTTGTTTGTTTTGTTTGTTTTGTTCGTTTTGTTTGTTTTGTTTGTTTTGTTTGTTTTGTTTGTTTTGTTTGTTTTGTTTGTTTTGTTTGTTTTGTTTGTTTTGTTTGTTTTTTTTGTTTGTTTGTCTGTTTTGTTTGTTTTGTTTGTTTGTTTGTTTGTTTGTTTGTTTGTTTGTTTGTTTGTTTGTTTGTTGGTTTGTTTGTTTGTTCATTAGTTCGTTTGTTTGTTTATTTGTTTATTTGTTTGTTTGTTGGTTTGTTTGTTTGTTCATTAGTTCGTTTGTTTGCTTGTTTGTTTGTTTGTTTGTTTGTTAGCTTGTTAGGTTGTTAGCTTGTTAGCTTGTTGGCTTGCTAGCTTGCTAGTTTGTTAGTTTGTTAGTTTGTTGGTTTGTTGGTTTGTTGGTTTGTTAGTTTGTTAGTTTGTTTGTGTTTGTGTGTTTCTGAGGCCCAGAAGAAGGTTGTCTTCGAGCACTGGAAGCTCAATGCGTTGTACTACTTCCTTCACCTTCCCATTCTCGGTTACGCCTCTTGTGCACGCAGTCATGTCGATAAGACCAACCGCCGCCTCTCCAGTGCGAGGGATTGGCCATGTTTCGTGCATCCCAGCAGAAGTATAGATGGCAGGCTGCCAGCTGAGGCAATCTTCATCTTCGAGTATCAGAAGCAGTACACGGAAGTCATTGGGAATGCGCCGTTCCTGATGCTTAACATTGATGTGCTAAATGCGACGCTGCGACCTCAGCAGAGCAACCAGGATCGAAGCCAAAGAGAGTTTTGCATTGAGTCGTGGAGTTTGGTGCTGTTGCCTGCACTGATTCAGGCCATTTGATGGAGTTGATCCTGCCACCGATCCGGACCCCTCGATTGCAAGTTGGTGCCAATTCATGACCGGTGGCCCTTTCTGGTGCCACAACTCCACTGCGTATATGCAGGGCCTGTGCTTGGAGCCTTGGGCCAAGCAGATCCGGTTGTGTCTCGGGGCTTCCAAAACAAACCAGGGACGCGGCTGCTGCGTCCGGTCCGTTGTTCGCCCTGACCAGAATCCGAGGAGCTGACCAATGCAGACATCCTTTCGCAGATGCACGTACAAACCATACTGGCTTGTCGCTTGGATCAATCAAAGCTTCTAAGTTCTTGATACATGAGCTGTGCTTCCCTACTATCTCGTCGGGATTTGCCCGTTGTGTTGGGTTGAGCTTGTCGTTTGAACTTCTTCAATTTCAATTTCATTTTTTAAAGTCTCTCTCTCTCTCTCTGATGTTGTGGTTGTGGTTGTGGTTGTGGTTTATGGTTTGTGGTGTGTGGTTTTGGTTCGTGGTTTGTGGTTTGGTTCGGGGTTTGTGGTTTGTCGCTTGTGGTTGTGGTTGTTGTTTGTCGTTTGTGGTTGTTAATTGTGGTTTGTTGTTTGTGGCTTGTTATTTGCGGTTAGTGGTTTGTGGTTGTGGTTGTGTGAGTGTGCGCGCATGAGATATGGTTTTGTGAAACGCTGCAATACCAAGCCAAAGCCACACCATGGATTTAGGAGCAGGTGGGAAAGCATACTGCAGGAGATCAACCAGCACGTTCAGTGTACAGCACAAAGGTATGTGTTCGAATCAATTGCACTAGATGAGTTTGCCCACGTCTCATTGTTCTTCAGTCGGACAGCACAAAGCGAGAGCAGAGTTCATTCCCGAGGCACTCGCCTGTGTCCCTTGGGTGGGGCCCTGGACCCCTCTTGCTTCATGCCACCTGCCAACTTTGAGCAGTCAGGCGGATGGTTGGAAGTCGGCCTCTCAATGCTGCCCCGATCCCTTGTATGCTGCCGTGGCAGGTAGCCGTACGCTCACCATCATTCCCTTCACGGCAATAGGGCGAGGCGCGGTAACTGGGTGTTGCAGGCTGTGTGCAGGAAAAATATCGTAATCACGGCCAATCTGTTCGGCAGGCTTGATTTCGGGCAATGTTTCTCCGATGTATATACTGCTCCACCCGATTATCCGATACGCGCGCATTGAGTTCACCTACATTTTCCAGATGACTCAGTCAGCACCGCCCCCCGGCAAGAGAACAGTAAGAATCGCGGCCCACATGGTCCAAAGCGTTCCGCTATGTGATCAAAGCACGCGTGTGTGCATACATGTAGGCGCTGAGCTTCAAGAACAATAAACAACTGCAGGCGTTTCTGAAGCACCCCTAAACCCTAAACCCTAAACCTACACCCTAAACCCTAAACCCTATAAACCCTAAACCCTAGACCCTGCTCTTCTCAGCAAATTCCCGAGGTATTTCTTCGGGCTGTACGAGTCGGCGACCGGTCGCAAGGGTCAACAGGATGCCTACACAGCCTCTCGGGAGAACTTTCGGAGGTGGTCCTCTATATGATGGGTTTAGGGTTCTGGGGTTTTAGGGTTTAGGGCTTAGGGTTTCAGGGTTCAGGGCTTAGGGTTTAGGGTTCAGTACGAAGAGACCATACATGTCATGAGGCCGTCATCAACGGAAAGGAGGAGGTGAAACACTTCTTTGCTCCGCACGAGAAGGCACCAGCATTCCGATGCGCACGACCTGGGCCGCCTTATGTAGCAGTGCTGGGCAAGACCACAGTTCATTTTGCTTTTTCTCGGGCAGGTGACAAACGGTTTTGAGTAGACACATGGCATGGCAGCAATAAATGTCCTGCGGGTAAGGCAGAGGCAGGAGGCTTCGTTCAGCTTGATCGGGTATTGACACAATTAGCAGTGCTTCTTCGGCTTTTCGCTGCTTAGTTGAAAGGTTTCGCCCGAAATTCTCCGAGATGACACCAACATTCCTGGCAGGAGGAGGAA